TCCTGGCCCTAAGGGATTATATGGGTTCTCCCGCCCCCTCTCCCCCCCCCCCCCCCCGGCAAGGTAGAGCACCTTGCATTTTTCTATGTTGAAAGTCGTCAGGTTTATGTGTGCCCACCTCGTCAGCCTATCCTGGTCAGCCTGAATCCCCAGCCTATCCTCCAGTGTAACCGTGCTTGCCCATAGTTTGGCGTCATCCACAAACTTCGCCAGTCCACTTCTGACATCCAGATCATTAATGAATACATTAAAAGTGTACTGGTCCAAGTACTGAACCCTGAGGGATGCCACTGGTCACCGTACACAGTGCTGACTTGGTTCCATTAGCTATCACTCTGGGTCCTACCATTGAGCTAGTTCCCCAGTCATCGGACTGTGAAGTTGTCGAGGCCACAGTTCCCTGGTTTGGCCTCCCATGATGTCCTTATGGCAGAGTCAAAAGCACTTTTTGAAATCCAAGTAACTGACATAAACCTCTTCCCTCCCATTCAGGTGATGTGTCACCTGGTCATAGAAGGAGATAAGGTTGGTAAGACATGATCTACTTGTAATGAAACCATGTTGGCCATCTCTCAGAATGGCACCTTACTGCAGCCTGTTCTTGATGGTTTCTTTGATAATTTTTTCCAAGATCTTCCCAGGGACTGAGGTCAAAAAGTGATTAGCCTGTAGTTCCCTGGACTTTTCTTCTTTCCTTCTTGAAGATAGGCACCACATTGGCCCTCTTCCATTCTTAGGAACTTCTCCTGAGCGCCATGAGTTCTCAAATATCCACACCAATGGTCAAGCTATCATGTTGGCCAACCCTTTTAGCACTTTTGGGTGAATTCCATCAGGGCCCGCCAACTTATGAATGTCCAGCCTCATGTTCTCACAACATCTTCACCAAATGTGCATATGGTCACCCATACCCTTGTAGTCCTGCGTCCTGTCAGTCGGGGTGATCCCCTTAGTGGAAAACTGATGCAAAGTAATAGTTGCAGATATTAGCTTTTTCCTGGGTTGTCAGCTACCCCATTTGATTCAGCAGGGGTCCAATGTTCCCCCTATCCATCTGAAGAAAGACTTTATTGTCCTCAATTCCCATTGTCAGCTTGTGTTCGGTATCAGCCTTGGCTTTTCTGGTCTCTTCCCTACAGGTGGGAGTCAGTGATGCATAATCCTCCTTAGAGGTATTTCCCCATCTTCTAACCTTTATATGCTTTTCTTTTAAGACTGAGTTCCCTAATTAGCCAAGGGGGTTTCCCCAGCCCTTTTGCTACTTTTCCTGAGAGCCAGAACAGACTTCCTTCCTGCTTTTAGGATCGCATCCTTAAGGAACAACCACTCATCTTGGACTCCCTCCCCTGTCAGATTATGATCTTTCAGGGCCTCAACAAAGCCTCCTGAGCTTGTGAAAGTCAGCTTTCCTAAAGTTGAGGACTTCCGCATCGCCGACCGATTTTCCAGCTTTGCAATGGATAAGGAAGGTGATCAATTAATGATCACTGTTGCTGAGCTTCCCTTCAATCCTCAAGTTACTCACTAGATCCCCTTTGGCCAGAACCAGATCTAGCAGTGCCTCACCTTGTGTCACCCTATGGACATCTTGAGTCAAACTAACAAGCTCTATGCAGTTAAGGAAGCTATGCAACTGATCAGATTTGGCTGAATATTCCTCCCATGAGATGTCAGGGTGATTTGAAGCCACCTATGACAACTGTGCACCAAGAGCATTCAGCCTGTTAGTTCCCTAGAGAATTCAGTCAGGCTCTTACTCCTGGTTCAGAGGTCTGCAAGAGACTCCTACAGTAATATCTCCTTCAGCACATTCTCCCTGTAATCTAACAAAGAGGGTTTCAAGTCACCATCCTTGGGTGCCCGTCACCTAGTATGGAAGTATACTGCTCCAAAAGAGCTACACCCATGCCCTTCCTCCCACCACAATCTCTCCTGTACAAGGTATCACCATTTATACCTGTGGTCCCATCATAGGGGGAGTCCCACCAGGTCTCTGCTATCCCCATGAGATCATATTTGTTATTGCTTAGCAGGAGGGTCAATTCCTCCTGTTTGTTCCCCATGCTCCTGGCATTAGCATACAGGCAGCTAAGCCTGCCATTAGAAGCCCTAGGCTTCTTTGTATGCTTAGGAGAGTCTCATCCATGAGCTGGGGTAGGAGTCAGTTTGATTGCATTTCCCAGCCTACTGATTATGTGCTCGTCTCTTCCTGGGCTTGTTCCTCTTGTACACCCTCATCCTGCTAGCCTTCCTTGCTCTTCCTTCAGGTGAAGAGCATGGTGGCAGCCATCAATCTCCTCTTCACCATCCCCGATAGCACACGCTTCTGCACTGCAGTCTGGAGTTCCCTTATCCAGCGCTCCAGGGATAGTACTGTGGAGCACACCCCACAAGGGGCAGGGGCAGTGTCATTGCTCCTGATCCCAGATGCCTGCATTTATGCCAGGCAGCCTCCCACAGACGAGAGCCAGAGGCTCCATTTGGGTGGAGGCTGGAACCATTGGCTCCACCTGGGTAGAGGCCTCAG